GTAAGTTTTAAAAAAATCCGTTTCATTCCTTTTTAATTCGAGTATTATCATTTGTCCAAAATTACAGAACTTTTGTCTGTCTAAATCGCAATCTTTTTCTCTTTTTTTTTCTTTTTTACTTTCTTTATAATTGTAGCATTTTAATTTTTGCTTACTGTGAAAATTAACCAAATATTATGATTTAAAATAGTATGAAATCACTTAAATGTTGATTTCATTGTCGGGACACCCGGTAGGACATTTACCCCTTGTTTCGTCATGAATGTGGGAAGTACTTGAAGGAAAACTGAATTTTATCTATTCCTAAGGCTCTTTATAACGAAATGTTTTACAAGTTTTGAAAATCTAGCACGTTGCTTGTAATCTTTCGTTTATTTTTTCCTTTCCATTTTTTTTTTTAAGTCTTGAATTTTTTTTATGGGTGGCCATTGTGGAAACATTATTTATACGATCTTTACCTTAAGTAAAAAAAAAAAAAGTTATTGTAGTAAGTTGTTAATGCATGTCTAATTAATTTGTCACAGTACAAATTTATATATTAATTTAGCAAGCATTTTATTCAAAGACTGTTAGGAAATCATTATTGATGTGACGATTTTATTCAAGCCGCTTTTCTAATTAACCCTATCACCTTCATTGCTCTTCTAGTGTTCCGTAGGCTGAAGAAGGAAGAAAATCGCTTCCTTTGACTTCCTCTTTGGTTTTTGCTTTGGTTAATTTCCTGAAAACAATTCTATTTCTATGTTACTATTTTTAACTCTATCTTTTTCTTAAACTGAAACTCGTTTTAATTTACTGTAACTTTCTTGCCTCGTGTGTATATTTTAAAATACAATTATGTGTTACTTATTAAGCGCTAATTCTGTTTATTCCAAAATGATGGTACCATCTCTGTTTTTGTGTTTTTTCCACTAAATTCATCAGTATTCTTAAAAAATGTCTACCAATCGTCATTGTTTTTATTTTCAGTCTGTTGTGTAGGATGGTTTATTCAATTGTGTACACATTTACGATGACGGTTTTTCTTCTCTGTTTCTGATTTCATTATTAGTCATTGTAGTGGTGGGGGCAACGGTTTAAGATTAACTCTTGATTCGATCTGGTCTAATTGGCCAGTAGTCTATCTAGTATTTATTTTATTTAGTACAAATGAAGTCTCTCACTGTACGCACAACCAGCAACAGTAACACTGTGTACTGTAGATGATTACTTACTCAAGTATAGCAAGTGTGTGATTTAGCTAACCTCTTCTCTACAATTCTACCTTCTGAGCTGATATGCTGCCATTGGCGTTTACTACTGCTACTACGACGAGTAATAAATAACTACACACTTCTGACTGTGATGATCTTGTATGTCATCTGTCCATTTTGGACGATTGATGCTTATATAAATTCGCCCCCTTTCTACTTCACCGGTTCTATATTATTCTGAACTAACACCACTGCTATTGGGATGAATTTGTTGACGATTGATACCTGTGTAGTAGTAGTAGTAGTAGTAGTAGTAGTAGTAATAATAATAATAATAAAATGGTTCACTAGTTAAGAATCAAAGATAATCGATTATTTTTTTTTTGTCTGTCTTTCCTTTGTTCGATTATTTCAAAATTTTATCCCTACCTTTTTTTTTATACAGACGTGTGTGTACACTGTACAATAAGTGTGATGTCGATGTTTCTCTTGTTTTGACTTCTTCCGCTTTGTGTTGCATTTCATTTTTATTTGTCTTGTTTTTTTCCCCGACCGTTCATTCATCCATCCACCTGATTACTTTTTAGTACGTTTCCCCCTCACATCATGTGATGTGTGTCTGCACTCACTACCGACTTTTGCCGTTTCTTTTCCTCATTTTTGTTATCGTTACTGGATTCTGTTTTATTTATATTTTCTCTACGCAATCTCCTCTTTCTTTTTGTCTTTATAGTTATCATTCATTTAACTATCTTTGTCTCTTTTTTTGTGTGTCGTCCAAGTCAGAAATAATGAAAAAGAAACGACATTTTTCAACCTCTCATTGCACGCACGCCACTGCAGTTGTTGTCTTTTTAATCTTTTTTGATGATAAACAACTCTTTCTTTTTTCTTTTTACACTATCTTCCTGGATAGAAAAGTTTGTTTCTTGTTTAATGCTCAGTAATCTTTTGGATGTTAAGAAATTGGATTTCATTTTTCTGTGTATCAGTCCATTCCGTTCATCGTTAAAAAAATCAATAAAAATAAAGAGCACTAAATTTGATGTTTTTTTATTACTTTTTTATTTTACGGATTTTTTTTCGCCTATAAAAATAATTAAATCCTCCTTTTATGCATCATTACAATCAGTCTTAAGAGTTAATTAGTATGTCCAATATAAAAAACAAACAAAAAAAAACGGTGTTTTACAGGCAAACATTCAACTTCCTATTCAGGAGGATGTGTGTGTGAGGAGAAGCCTATCATAAAAAGACTTTATCATCATTATGAGGGGCATAAAAAGCAATATGCACTTCTTTGTTGTACATTATGTGTGGAATTATCAGTCTCAAATAAATAATTAATAACATTTATAAAATCGTTATAATGATAATGGCTTGTTTTTAGTAAAAAAATTTCCTATGACCAATGATTTAAAAAAACCAAAAAAACCCCCAAAACACTTGTTCCAATCATCCATACAAGTGGAAGAAAGCTTCAACGCCGCTATCATGCCATAGATTCCAGGCCCGATGAGACATCATTCATTGTCGGAATTCGATCGTAAAAATGTCTTAATAATAATGTTTTATTACTTGATAGAGATTTTCTTTTTCCTTTCGAGGAAATCGAGCTAAACATTTATATTCATCAAAATAAGAAATCGTATAAAAAAGAAAATAACTAGTCGCATGTAGACTTGTAAAGACATTGGCTGCATTTTTGTCTCGGATTATTATGCCTATTATATTCGATCATGTCTGGATGATGTTGCCAAGGTGAAGGCCAACATGAAAAGAATTATCATTAGTAGAAAGATCGACAAGTTGCCCAATTGAATACTTTTTTTTATCCGATCACCACGCGCATATAAATTGAGCTTATGATTTTTTTGTATTATCAGTCTTGTTTCGTTTTGAATTTGGCATTTTTATTTCACTTGAGATTGATTTTTTTAAACATTGATTGATGTAACTGTAGTTTTTTTTCTTTCATCGTTAAAAAACCCCAAAAAACTGGCACAATTTATTTTTAGGCATAATTGGCTTTATGCAAAATGTCAACATCAGTTACCATCCACTTTGACTTGCTTGAGATTCAAATTCTTTTTCCTTGCCCAATTTCATTGTATTTCAATTTTTTTGTAACAAATAAATTGACGTGATGGATGAGATCTCATTTATAACCGGACCATAACTGAATGGTCTTCTTACAGTTTAAAAAAAAAAAAAAAGAAGAAAGAATTTAAAAAACAAGTGTCTTTGCAAATATAAATTGCATTATTTATGTTGATGTTTAAATTGATGTTAAAAATATTCACCTCGGAAACTGTCCATTTTTAATTTATACACACTATCTTAAAAAAGACTTTATTCCGGGAATAAAAAAAAATTCCGAATAAAAATAAGCCAGTAACCTTTTTTTAATTACCCAATCACGCCTTTTTATCGATAACAATAGTGTTGCATACATATTTCAACTTGTTGATTAAAGAATTACGAGATAACTTCTGTTTTTTTTTTTTTTTTTTTCCATCGATTGGGTTTTTATTTTTGGGCTATTTGAAAATGAAATGTTTCAAAAACTTCAAAAGGAAAATCATTGACTTTTTTTTTTTTTTTTTACAATATCCTTCTAAAAAACAAATTTGACAATAAATGAAGTACACTGTACAGTAACCTTTTTTTTCTTTTATTTTACAATGATCTCTAAAAGTTTGCATATAAATTTCCATTAACTTGCAATATTTTGATTTTCAATTCCAGTTGCAAAATTTTTTTAAGTAGGCAATAGTTAATTCGGGAATATAAAACATTAAATTCAACCTGAAGTAAAACTTATTTTTTAGAAGAAAAAACACAAAACATCACTTTCTATCATATGATCATTCATCACAGGAGTTTTGTCAAACCCAGAATCATTGATTTGAAATAGATAGCACTATAACCACCCACTACCACGCACCCGAAAATGGTGTTTGTTGGGGACAGATTGTTACTTTAAGTGTTAAGAAGCAACAGGCAGTTAAGCTTATTGCAATTTCATTAAAAGTTGAGTGCATATGACCATGAAGAAATTTGCTGCTGATAAATAAAACCTTGAAAACTTTCAGACACAGCTGATCATTGCTTGCTATATTAGCCCTTTACATACTTTTAATGTCTTTTTATTTGATTTTTTTGTTTTGTAATTGTCTACTCTGCATTTTAAGGTAATAATTTTATCATGTATTAAATCAATAGTTAAAGTTTTATAATATTTAATTAATTACTTTTATGCCTTAATAAACTAATATATTCATAAATAACCCATCTTCTGAATCTTTGCTTATTGGAGAAGAAAGAAACTTCAAATGTGTAATAGTGATTTTTATATAATTTAAAATAAATTTTCAGTTATTGTAACTATTGATATTTACTAAATCTAGCAAAGCAAAATAGTAGGGAGCTGTGGCCTCACTATCAAATTGGTCTTTGCTTATATTCTGATTACAGTGCTTAATAACTTGTCTTTGTTAACTGTCTCATTTTTCCTTTCCTCTTTTTGTTCCTTTTGAATCAAATCATTGACCCTGTTCTATCATATTGAAATAAGCAAGAATTTAAATCCCATAGGTTTTTAGGAAGTGACAAGAAGAAAATCTTACTTTAAATGACATTGCCATTATTTTCACAATAATTTGGACTACAGTGTTAATCTATTGATCATGAAGAATTAGTTTATCTATTTCTTAAACCACTTAGAATAAAAACATTTCATTCTTCTATAAAGAAAAATTGTAAAAGGAAATTAATGATTATTGATAATTTAATTAAAGGAAATTA